TAAGATTCTTCCAATTAGATGTAGATATATTACAACAGATATTAAAAAATGCCAAAAAAGTGACTTGTGAGTGATACTTTACAATAAACTAGTGTCTTGGGGCGGCTACGCCGCTGCATGACCAAGAATCAGTAGTTCTCTATTTCATTGTTATTGTATAAAAAATTGTACAGTAAACATGTCTTGAATTAAACAATTTATGACTCCTCTTCCATTATTATGTCCCTGCTCGCTTTGACTTTATTTTGCTGTTCCCAGAATAATTCTTTTGACACAACATTTGTTACTGCGGCGTTATCTCCTAACTGAGTCACGAAAAGGTCTTTTACATTCCTCACCCGAGATAATCCGACGTATAACTGCCCATGTGCAAACGCTTGGCTTTCCAGCACTAATGCCACCCGCCCCATACTTTGCCCTTGACACTTGTTTATCGTCATGGCAAAACACAACGCCACGGGGAACTGATATCTGTAAAAGGAAAATTTGACCAAAGCGTCGCCCTTGTGGAATAAGCTGATTTTGGGTATTAAGACCTCTCTATTTTTGTAAGGACCATTCAAGATCCGCCCTTTGATCGCTCTTTGGCTTAATCCCTCAATCACTAAACGGGTCCCGTTGCAAAGTCCTTGTTCAATGCTTATATTTCGCAGTAGAACTATTGGAGCCCCCACTTTGAGTTCTAACCGATGTTTCGGAAATCCAGCAAAATCCACTTGGTTCAACGCCTCGATTGGTAGCGTCCTCTCGGCCTCATCATCAGCTTTGTTCACTGCTACGGATATTGTCGCCGTAGATCGGAGATTTCGCAACATGGCCTTATTGACTTTATCCGCATCCTTGTTCAAGGTAGTCAGGACACTGCGCTCTGCCAAATATCTCCCATAGCTAATCCAGTCGGTATTTGTTTTCTGATCCAGCCCCGCGTAGACATGGTTTATGGCCAAAGTGTAACATAATCTCGGCCTCGATTGAAAATTTACTGGTATGTTACCTAGCCTAATCCTCTCTGATGTCCGTGATTGGGAAGTCCCTTCTCCTACTCCCAGCAGTTCTTGGGCAAAGGATATATTTTCTTCTTTTTCTGCTGCACCAATCCCGATCCCTAGACGAATATTATCCCTTAGACTATACACTTCAATACTTGCCCACAAAGCTGACGATTTGAGAGTCGCAGCTTCAGCCCTGGGATAGACTCCTTGCTTAACCACTGGAAGAGTTTGCCGAAAATCCCCTGCGAAAATTACCGTCTTACCGCCAAATGGCTCGGTAGTCTTCATCAAATCTTGTAGACTTCGGTCAACGGTCTCGACCGCATGTTTGTGCATAGAAATAGCCTCATCCCAAATAATAATATTGGTCTTCGATAATTGTCGTCCCACTTTATCTTCCCTTGAAAAGTTGCAATACGATTCATTTGAAAATTTGACTGGAATCTGGAACCCAGTGTGCGCTGTTTTACCTCGCCTCAACAAGAGAGCTGCGACCCCTGTAGATGAAACCGCAATTACTTGTTGATCATGCGCGACAAATGAATCAATGATGCAGTTCAACAGGAAAGTCTTGCCAGTGCCTCCAGGACCATCCAAATAGTATAATTTAGGAGGCCCCGGTTTTTCGAAATAATCCCAAAACACGGCATCGTAGAAAAGGTGTTGCGTGTTGCTTAACATATTAACTCCAACAGTCCAATCGGATTCAATATTCTGCAAATTTTCTTCTCTTTTCTTTGCCGCCAAAATTTGGTCCAAGAATTTGTTCTCCTCTTCATTCATCCTAAGAGATACATCTTCCAGATCGGTTCCCATAGAAAGCAAGATCATTTTAACTTGCTGTAGGGTAAATGCTTTGATCTCAAAATCCGTTGGATGAATGATGCCATGGCTAGTCCTAAGTACATATGCCGAATCATGGCCTAGGTGTCGCCAGTGTCCATTGAACAATGTCATCGGCGCTGCCGGAGGACTAAACACAAGAATTATAGCGAACATCAACCGGAGCTGGAAACCGGTTTTAAAAACTGCTCCTTCCACCAAAGCCTCGTTGTATTGAGCGTCATTGAGGAGTAAACCCAAGGCATCTGCCGCTCCTCTGCAATCAGGGTATACAATTCCATGCGCAGACTTCAGATCCGTCCACGAACGTATATCTTTCCGGTGAATTAAGATCAGCCTAATATAGTATCGCTCTCCTTGATGAATCGAAATGAAATGAACGTGTCCAACTGTCTTGAGGGCACGTTTTCTCGCCTTCCACCTGTGGTTTTGTTCATCCCACGCGAAATACTTCGGGATTTCGTGATAGTAACAATCTCTAGCTGAGACGCCGAGACCTTGTTCGTCTAGTCGATTAAGCTCAAAAAATTGGTTCAACATGGTCCTCTGGGCCTTTTCATTGTTTACCTTCTCCTTTGCTTCATCCTCTGTCCGATAGAAAATTGATTGCGCGTTTTCTTCATGGACCCCAAGGCGTTGAACTGAAGGGAAGCGCTCGGACAATTCAAACTGGAAAATTCTCCAACAAGCTGAACAAGGCATGACATCAATACCTCATCTAGCCGCTTTAATTTGAATAGAATACATACCCTCAACTGGGCCTATATATCTGGAGTCTAAGAATGCTTTGACTTCATTACTACATTCAACGGCTAAATACGACCGATTGTGGCCTTTGCAAATGTATTTATACAAATACTTAATTGCTTGAATCCCAACTGCCACCTCTACATTGACATGGCAGTTCATGAGCACACTAAGATCACGATTGTAAGGAACCACATTGCGATTATCATAAGTCAAAGGACCTTTGACAATCTTCCGACCATTGTCTCGACGTCTATACTGAGGGTATGCTCCTTCCTGAAGAACAGTTTCGTCGCGGAACTCCTTAGGGTAACGAAATTGACAGGCTCCATTCCGTATACAACCCTTACCCTCACATGGCCCGTGGAGCATGCAGCGCGCCACAACTTGGTACAAAGCTGGGTCTCGCACCGGACAAGGAATCTCAGCCTGGACTAATTTATTGATTTTGTCTGGGGTATCGGGTTTCGAATCCTTCGAAAATGTGAGCATGATATGCATATGAGGCATGCCTTGTTTTTGAAACTCCACAGTAGCCACGTAAGCTTCGACCCGACCTAATACGTGCTTCTTGACCAGTAACTGCATGAAGCATTTGAATTTCAACTTTGCGGCTCGTGCGAGGATTGTTGGATGGTTTAACGGATCAGAGCCAGCGGGAATGAGGTCACTAATTTCTTTCCACGCAGGATTCGCGGTGATAGTAATGAACAAATCAGGAGTTCCGTAGTCTCGAACCATCGCCATTGCATCTTGATAAAGCTGGTCCATGGCTCTAGGCCCGCCGATAAAGGTTGAAGGTAAGACTAGCTTTCTACCGGTAGGCTCGCCCGTCTTTCCAAACGCTTCAACAAGTCCTGAGTACATTTGTACTTTTAGGGTTTCTTGGTTATTGAGGACCCAACTGAGTCGAGAATGTTCGATACATGCGTACATGTCCACAACCAACTCTTGATGTAAAGTTCTTCCAGCAAGAATAGCCGAAAAATGATCAGGTCTACAGAACAAAAGATAAGACATCCATTCCAGTTGCGAAACGTGCCGATATTCTTCTTCCTCAGAGTCTTTAATCAATACTTTGTAGGTCGGTTCCCATTGTTGGGAGCCATAAGGAAAAAATAAAGGATATCTTAAAGGAAAATAAGCTGAGTGAAGATCCGAAATGCTTTTCAGAGAACCATCCCGTTGGTGCAAGACGATGTGTCTTGGTTCCTTGAGGAGACCGTCTCCTTTCACGACGATGCCGACGTCTTCTCGTCCTGGTCGATTGTACCGATTCAAGTCCAAAGAACTGTTTTCAATTGTTTTGAGTATCATTGTGACAGGTTGACTTTCTTTCATGATTTCGCCAGAGTGTCTGAACAATTGGGCATATGGGTTATACTTGTACATAAATGTTTGAAGCTGGAGGATTATTTTAGCGTCAAAATTAGCTTGGATCTGGGCTGATGACTTTGACCCAAGAGCCAGCTCCCGTCTATATTTTGCTTCACACATTCCTCCTTCACCGACGACGAAGATTTGTGCAAAATGAGCTTTTTGACCCGGTTGCGGGGCGATACCTCCGATATCGTGGCTGAGACTACCTTGGATACAAAACACCGGAGCTCCAGGAATAGACTTCGCCATATCACTCAATGTGAACCCAAGGGAAGTGAAAGACACTGCATTGTTGTAGGAGCGGATATATCGTTGAAAATTACGGGCCTCTGAATCATAAGATTAGACATTGTGAACTTGAAACAGAAGAGCAGAGAAGACTCACCCAAATTCTCGCCGCGGAACAGCCTTTCCAGAAACAATGGAATCTTCGGGGCAGAAACGGAACTCGAAGGTAAGATAACTTTGCCTTTCTGGCAACACATAGAGAACTTGTTCCGATTCTTTTTGACATCGACCTGGGCTCTTTCTTCTGGCCAATGAAGAGCATGGCAATCTTTGCATTGGACCGTACAAGGGCCCAGCTTATGCTCACCGGTCGGCCAAAGTTTTGCTATTATGGGAGAGATTTGAGGTTGAGATGATTCCATGTTAGATTGAAAGCAACAAAGTGGAGGCTTGAATGAGATTGTGCCAACTCGGATTCAATTTCAAATGACGAGGCAGGATGAAGTCAGGGATTAGTGTTTGTTGGGCAGAAGCGGAACAAACATTGAGGAGTTATATTAAGGACTAAACACAGCGGCCCAACCTGTCTTTGTCTATTACATAATGTTTAAGTAACGGAAAAATAGGGATGGAACAGGAAAAAGTCTTAACTACTTTGTGCTATTTTCAGCCGAAGGCCTAAAAGATATGAGATGACTAAAACTACCCCGATATACAACAGCTCCCGAGACAAAGTGTACAACATGGTGTTGGCATAGGCCTAAAATCAGATTACTAAATGCGGTCTTGAGCCTAGGCATGAGAGTGAGCTCAAGAAATGATCCCTGCGGCCCTGCGTCTTTTTTTGACGACTGGGGGTGAGTCTACAGCTTTCGTCTTGCCTTTTTCGATCAACCCTACAGCTTGAGCTGGGTCAGATGCTAATTCTGCTTCAAGCAATCCAGGTCTAGAAGAATAGCCAGAGGTTGAAGCAACGGGGGTTCGAAAATCATTTCCGTCTACATTACTATTTGCGGACTGTACTGAAGGTTGGGAAACCTTTGAGTCTGATTCTTCGAATGTTATACTGCGAGGGTCATGGGTCAGCGTACGAAGCATTGCAAAGGATAGAGCAGCGCTTACAATTTACGACCCTTGGTCGCAGGGCTTGTCCTAGGCGATGAGGGATTGGTCTTAGGACCCGGTGATGAAAAGCCCATGTTGATTGGACTAAAGCCCAAAACCTGAATTAACACAAAAACGAAGGAATGACTTAGCGGATGTAAAAAAAAAGAAACAAGTAGCCTCGTCTCTTACCGTAATAATAGCGCTATGATCTTTCAAGTCCCAGCCAGATAAGTACCCGTCGAAGACAAATTCCCTCCCGACCCGAATCATGATATGAGTATTCACGAGCTTCGGATTTGCCGGAATAATATATTTCACATTGAAATTCTGACGAGACGATCCTGAAATGATTAATGTCAGTATTCTGTCAACAAAAAAAAATTGTGGTGAAACTAACAGTAGGATCCCAGTCCCTATGGTTAACTTGAACATGGAGGTCTTGTTTTTTTCCGCTCTGGACCTCAAGATCAGCATCCACATTTGAGTTGAGTAATCCAACGACTAAGCCGACGCCAGAAGTAAAAGTCCTATCGGTTGAATCCTCAATTTGATTCGCCGCAGAACAAATCTTGGTTACCAATTCAATGTAATAATTGAAGATCGGTGGCGCAGGACCGTTCAAGAGTAGAACTCTGCCAGAGAGACCGTAAACAGAATCTGGCGATAAAACATGGGCTGCAGTACCGGTAGTTATAAGCGAGACCCGATAGTCGACTGCATCATTGGCATTGCAAGTGACAAAACTGGGGGTCGAGACTGAACCATATATCTGTCCTGGCTTAATGGTAGGAACCGACTGATGAAACAAGATCAGAACGGTTTAAGAGGCCATAGATAAGAGTGACAAACCTCTTCAAGGGGGCGAAAATTGCTTCGGAAAGACAGAGGACGATTCGCGACTTTATCTTTGTCACTCATAATGACGCAGTTCCACCGGATCAGGATTTCTCGGTGAAAAATTGGATATAGAATATCTGAATAAAACGTAATCGCGGAGTCCAAGGTCTATAAATAGACGCACGGCTTAGGTTCATGTAACCAGGGACAACCCTGAATAGAGGATAACTTGGTTCCATTAATGAGATGTTGAGCGACTTTGGGTCGAATCAAACTAAAGTACAGCAGGTAAAGTAGAGAATACAAATGAGGAATATTATAGTACAACAGGAAAGTTCCTATACGAGAGTGAAACATGAGAAGAAAAATATGGTAATAGGTATTGTTTTGAAGAAGAGGTCCATAGGTTGGGGGCGAGATATGCAAAATTCCGGAAGTCAGGAGTTTGACTGATTGTTCCAATAAGCTTCCCTGATGTGAACGCAGGGAGCAGGGATTGAAGTCTGCAGGGTTCAAAGGAGAAATGAATGAGTCGAATTGATATTGATTTCATGGGAAAGGGCCGAATTTACATTTATATAATAGGTGTTACCAACCCTGCGTAAAATGCGGCCTTTGATCCAAATGAGGTGATCAGGTGCGAGTACGTCCGAATATAGGGCCAGGAACCCAGGGCATTTGATCCGGAAAGACATCTGCAGGGACAAAAAAAATTCATGGGAAGTGGGGAAAGAATTCAATGCTTCAGTTTGGATATTTGTCGACAGGAGAGGAAAAATGAGGCATACAGGTGACGGGAATAACGGGCTGACCAAGAGGCGATGATCATGGGATAGGATCCGAAAATTTCCGTGGACTTGGGGTGAACCTCCGTGCCTCATGAAAGGGGGACATTCGCTTTCCCAGTATGAGGTGGTGGCGTGGACTTCTATTGGACCATCAAGGGGGAAAGAAGAAATAGTTCCATAGTAAGTGAGATAGGGCCCTGGGGATCTACTGGCGAGGGTGATCGGCTTAGCGGTGATAGTATAAGACGGTAAGTTGGGTGTCCAAAGACGAGAAGCATAAGGAACATAGGTGTCGCCCCCCCGAACCGGCAATAGTGCCATTAGGAAGAGCCAAGATTGCTCAG